AAGGTGTAAGTTACGGCAGAGTTTTATGAAACGAGGCCCAGGAGCGTAGAGTCGTAAAAGACGGCACTAACCGGCTGGGAACTCCGAATGTGCTCGTCTGCAGGGTGCGCGTCTTTGTGTGGTGGTTAGCATGGAGATCTACCCTTCACGAGCGCATCTCATGAGGTGGTTTGCGAGCTTGCCAGGAGAATCTCTTGTCGCCATGCTCAGATGGCTCTTACCCTGGTCGCTGGGCAGCCTGTGATCCGATCCACGGTCCGGCGAATTCGCCTCAGCAGTCCTCAGATTGAGTACATCTCCGCATCACTGATCGCAGGATGGTCCGATGACCGGCTCAGAGGGAAGGTCGGCCCGCCGTCTCCAAATGCCAGCCGACAGGCCGTCAGGAAATAAACGTGGTGTAGGTATCTGCGATATCGGCCCGTCTTCAGTCGCGTAAAAATAGGACCACGTATTTACTATAAAAGCCCCATGGCGGCAGAATCGAAAAGCTGCATTGCCCTGCCACTTCCGGAATTCATTTCACTGATCTCTCCTCGCCGCCTTTAGTGTGTACTTCTTCATCGCCCTAGCTTTCTTTTGCACCTTTGCGGCGCCTTTCCTGTGCCTCAATTTTATCCCATTACCACCTCGCCGCCTGCCTCCCCTGCCGCTCTGACGGTATGTTTTGCCGGGCGGACTCCACCCTGTGAGGCCCGCGGCGGCCCCGCAGCGGAGCAGGTTCAAACCCCGACTGGGGCGGCCGAACTTTTTGCCGACTCACTAATGGTCATCGCGTGCTGGCTGTCGACGGGTGATCAGAGCCTGTGACAGCCTGAGCAGCGTCCGATCGCTCTCGTTGCCACCCACACCTGCCCCTCCCGGAGGCAGGGTGCCTGACCGGGCCAGCGTCCGTCCTGAGGCGGCGTGCCGTTACGCCTGGCTACTCAGGAGCAGGAAACGGCGTCTGGGGGACCGGCGTTTGTCAAAAATCACCGCTCCTGCGGCGCGATGCCGGGGAATTGTTGGCACAAAAAGCGGTGGCCGGGGACTTCCTGTGTGCGACAGGTGTGTGATGCTACCGATGGCCATCGGGGATAGATCGGATTGGGCGGATCGCTGGACCGAACTCGCCGTGTGATCTGGCAGAACCAGATATTTCGTCTCGGAGACACGTAAAAAAAGATCTGCTACTTTAAAATACATGCAGCTCTGAAGTTTCGCAGCTTGCTATGCATAGTGGATGGCGTCGTTATTCACTGCCTATTTTTTGCCTTTGTTGGCTTTTGAGGCTTCGTGGCAGGTGAATGAATGACCTGCTTCGACCCTATGCCTATGTTCAACTGCATATGTATGTGGTTTTGCATCTCACTAGATGCTGCAAGGCTCTACAGTCCACATTGCATTATCCCCGTTGCATCTGGCTTTACACTCGACTGCGCGGAGGCCACTCGCTGACTCGACCTCGCAATTAGGTCTGGTTTGATTTGACTTTGTAATAAAACGTGCTCGGACCTGACGCCGTCAGCCGGGTTCGCCGGTCCGCGGCCTCCAGGTGACCTACAGAGCTGACCCCGCTGGGTCCTATGTGACCGCCGGCGGCGTCCCGAGCGGCCCGCGTCGTGACCCGGCGTCAGCGCCGATGGCCGCCGTAGATCATACGCCGGGTCCTCGCGGCCCTTGTTAGCCGCCCGCTGACGGGCCATTGCCGCCAGTTACAAGGGCAGACGTGCTGACGCATAACGACCTGCCGCTGAGCACCGCGCCCGGGCGGCCCGCCCTGCTCGCGGCCGAGCTGGCCGACCGGCCGGCCCGGGAACGTCTCAGTCCACTCTCCCTTTCTCTCCGCGGCTCACCATCTGTCTCTATCTGCTCCGGACGGCGCCTGGCCGAGCGCGGCGCATCAGCCGCCGTTTGATCTCAGATAAGGCGTCAAACAGACGTCGGTGAAACCCCCACAAACGCTCCTGAGAGAGTGAGAACAACGTGGCGCGGACGGCCGCGGTAGATCTAGAAGGCTTCCTTATCTTCAAAGAACCTCCGAGATCCTGAAAAAGACAATGTTATGGCAGAGCTGCGAGGGTCGAAACGCGCGCTCTTCATCAACCAAGAGCTTATTGAAGTATTAGTAGATTCAGTTAGCAATGATCCGAAGCAAAGCACTATGCGTAGCTCTCTCTTGCAGACGGTTCGAACCTCCATGAATCACAGAAGCTCCAGTCGTGCACTGCATTTCTCCGGTTTCCCGATGTGCATGCGTGCACTGTTTTCTCGGCGTGACCGGTTGGGTCTCTCTGCGGTGACTCGGGAGTGCGTGCGGCGCGTGCCGGCCGGGTCAGCCCCGACGGCGACCACCGCATTGTCACTTTCGCCCCGGGCCCGGCGCCGGCCGCCCAGGTCGGGTCAGGTCGGGTCGGGTGACGCTCCGCCGTGGTGACACTACTGGCCGGTGGTGTAACGCGCCACGATTTACGGCCTTGTTTACGTCCGGCGTGGTCGGAGTGTCGTGCAGTTAACCGCTTCCTGCCCGCCCGCCGGGTGGCTGGGCGGCCTTCTCTGCCGGTGGGCCGGCCGGCGGGAGGGCGGCAGACGCCGCCGACTCGTCTCCGCCGACAAATGGACCGAGGCGTGCCCAGCGATTAGGAAACGCGCTTAGAATTCTTCAAATAAGCCGGACACAAAAGATGTGCTTTTGTCGAGTTTCGGGATGCGCCGTGATAACGGTCTGTGGTAGGGCGAAAGGCGATGGTTGATCCATGATATGGGAAGATGAATCATTGATGAAAAATCGTTGGAAGGCGGGATTGTTAGTTAAAAGGTGATGATGTTTTGAAAGGCGCGATTATGAAGATAGGACATACACAGAAGGAAGGGAGGTGGTCAAACGATTAAGTCAATATGCCGTTCAGCCGCGCGTTCCCGGAGGTCTGGGCAGCGTCTGCCGGGCGGGAGAGGAGCGCAGGGCACCGGGGGCGGTCCGATCGGCCGTTTCCACACCGTGAGACCCGGGGCCGGCCCACCTCCTCCCCGGGCGGCCCCCGTCACCGCTCCGTTCAATTACGGACGTCCCTCCGCCGTGACCGGTGTGGCCATCCGTCTTCCTGGCCCGGCACGCAGTCCGCCGCCGGCCGGTGACACGCCATCGGCGCTGACGGGCAGGGACGAGACTCCTCTCCTAGACCCGACTCCTCTCCGGCTCTCTGTGCGCCGGGGCCCTCCGTGTGTCGTAATCGACGAAGGGGCGCCCGACGACGGCCACGACAACGCGCTGAGGAAACTTTTGTATGTTGTTGATTGTGAATGTGTTCCTTTTTCGGGAAGCTGGCAACTGTTGGTACCGTCACCGTGTGGTTTCTCTGGCTTGTCAAGCAAGCGGCGTCGATCGGGATGCGTGCCGAAGGCGGCGGTTGTGGTGGCTCGGGGGTTTCAGTTTCCACCATTTGTCTCGCTGATGATCGGAGGGGGCGGGTCGTCGGGTGGGGCACCGTCCATCACCCTGTCCCCGCCGATTCGGCTGACCCTCACCGGCCACCACTTCGGAACGAAAACTGCCGCAGGGCACTCAGTGCGCCTGGCGAATCGCAGTCGCCGATCGTCTCACCGGGCCCACCTGACGGTCCACCTGAGAGTCCAGACCAATCATGGCGATTCTCTACCATCTGTTGCCCACGTGAACTTCTTCACACACGCGGTTACTGCCAAGATTCTTTCAGATAGTTCCGGCAATGGTTGTTGGTGGCCTTGTGGTGTTGAGCTTTTATTGTCATGGGCAGCGGAAAAGTTTTCCTTTTTTATAGGCTCGCATATGATGGTTGAAAAATATGTGAAGCAGAGCCGTCGCTAGATGCTTCCAACATTGAACGATAATGCCCCGGTTATTTGCATATATGGCCAGTAGCCCCTTTCCGATGAGGATGATTGAGCAGTCAGCTCTGCTCAGCTAGCTGCATAAGGCGTCTGTGTGTTCCATTGTGTCTCTGCGGATCCATCACCCGAACAGGCGTCCGGCCGTCGCGCGCCGGTGCTGTCTCAGTCTCCTGCTCACGTGCAGGGTGCACGGCCAGGCACGGTGCCGCGGGCCCCGCCCCCACGGAGGCTGCTGGGACGGCTGCAGCGCCGGCCTCAAGGTCGACAGTGGCGTCCAGACCGCCCCCGTCTCCGTCGGACGCGGCGGCACGCGCTAAGGGCGCGGCAGGGGTCAGGTCTGCAGATGGCAGGGCGAGAGGTCAGGTCAGAAGTTCGATCCGCAGATGTCAAGAGCGACATCTGACATGCAAATCACAGTCGAGTTGATGGAGGAGAATGACATGACAGATGTTAGTGACCAAATGAGACTGCGGCAAAAGCAGATAATTTGCCCTCAAGATCTTTGGACAGAAGTTACGAAAATATATAGCTGATGGCGGAACATTTTTGAAGAGTTCAGCAGAGGGTCTGTATCTGCAGAGCTGATATCTACAGATTTCCGTCCTCGTTATGGCTGTCGCTGAGGCGTCGCAGAGTTTGCTGAAGCAATCCCGGAGGTCAGTCGTGTTTATTCCAAACATGATGTCACATCCTGTCCCAATGTATTGAGCACAGTGACTACCTTGTGAGTTTGATAGAGCCCCTTTAAGTAACGCTGATTCGTATGTGCAGCCCGTCTCAAGGGAGGCCTTGTCTGCTTGAGGTGCGGTCCTCCCTGTTTATGTTAGCCTCAAAGCACCCTATGCCTAACCCTGTGCTGCTGTGATGTGGTACGGCGAGCCCATCCCATGTCTCTTACAACACCGCACGAACCCCGGGCTTCGCCAGTTTTCTCAATCTCCGTCAGACTAAAAATGCGCAGACTTGGCGCGTCTTAGCTGTTCTGAGTCCGGCCTTAGACGGATTGCCACCGCATGTGGCGGATGAGAACGAAAGTGAACGGCATAGTTTCGTGAGCGGCTGTCAGCACCCGGAGAAGCCGCGGCTTACAATAGGAGGCTTATGAGCGGCGTCGACAGCGGTGGCCCGAATTCTGACACGCAGTCCGCTTCTAGGTTGAGAGGGAGGTGATGTGCACGTGTGAACTGTGAGAGCTTCGCGACAACAGTGGCCGGTTATTCGTACTTGTGAACAGTATAGCGGTGATCGATAAACTGTGAGTGAAGGTTCTACCGCTACTCTTCACGGCAAACAACTGTGACTACCGACTGGGACTACTGTGACGTATAAAACAGGACTGGAGTCGACTGAGCCACACTGAGGACTGGCTCTCGGGGAACGGCAATGTCCGCCCTGACCGATCGCCGCGGCGCTGGCCGGCCGCCTCTGGAGCCGCGCCGAGTGCCAGTGGTGGCCGAGCCCGACTCCTCGGGCCGCGGACCCGTCGTCTACCGCGCCCGCTCCGGCATCAGCTTCCAGAACCTGGACACCAGTGAGAGGATGCCGTCCAGTGAGCGACCCTCGTCCCGCGGGCAGGACCACGGGTCCGCCAGCGCACTGAGTCCCTCTGGTCGGCACTACTCCGAACGGAGCGCCCCTGACACACCGCCGCTGAGCTCCAAACCGCCGACGCCGCAACGCATCTCGGCCCTGCTGAGGAAGCACCTGCTGCCCCGACCGCGCTCCTCCAGTGGAGGGCGCGCGGAGGAAGAGGGTGACCTGCGGCCGGCGCCGACCCGCCGCGGACTCGGCCGCAGCGACAGCGACAAGACGGGCTCGGCGCCGCCGCGGCCGCCCTACCGCAACAGCTCGCTGTCGAGGAACGACATCACACGCCGCTCCATCCGGCGGTCTCGGTCCTCGGCGAGCGAGTCGGCGCGGGCGCAGCGCGGCGCCGGAGCTTCACCCTGCTCCAGTGCAAAATCAACGCCGTCGGCGGCCCGGCACCGCGCCTGGTGCAGAGAGGAGAATGTCTCTGGAGCCAGCACCAGCGTCAGCATCGGTGGTAAGAATGCTGACAGTCATAGAGACGACTCGCCTGTTGCCGGTGGGAGAGGTGGTGCCCATGCCGTCCCGGTCAATGGCGCTACTGGAGGAGCATCTGATGATCGAAACAAGCACCGGAGGCAGGTCAGCCTCCAGGATATCCTACGACGGGAGGTTGGAGGAGGCCACGGGGCCAGATCAACGCAGAGAGAGGATGTCACCAACCGGACGATAGTGAAGGTCGAATCCAGTGGAACCTTTCACATGGGAGAGTACGATCCTGCTGATGATGATCGTGGATTTAGTCCTCCTCCTGAGCAAGATGAGGTCGACAAAGGAAGCAGATGTCCAAGGAAATCTAGAGAAAGCGAAGTGTCTAACGTGTCTGTTGGCGATGACAAATCTTCTCCAGGATCTAAGCTGACCCGGAGACCTGTGACAAAGCGAAGAGCTCCGCTGGTGCCGACGCCGCCGACCGGCTCCGTTGGTCGGGACTGCGGCGAGCTGTGTTTCAGAGGCGGTCCAGAGGGCACGGTCCGCTCCACGGGCAGCAGTTCGGGGGTGAGCACGGCCACTGACGCCTCTTCGGCGGGGGAGGTGGCACCGGCAGCCGACACGGGACACCTGACCTCCTCAGAGGCAGAGGTGGTGGATTGGCGAGACACCTCTGCCAACAGGGAGCTAGAGCGGGGATCGCCTCGACCCCCAGACAGAGCTCGATACGACGCCGTGCACCGACCGGAGCCGTCGCCAAAGACGAGGCGCAAACTGAGCGTGCTCAAAAGACTCGTCCAGAAGTCGAGGTCGCTGGGCGTGAGTGCTCGTTCCGAGGAGTTCCCGAAGCTGGACCGGGCGGAAAGTGGTGGCAGTGGTGTGAAAAGCAGCCCCAAGTCGTCCAGGCCTAACGCGACAGTTTCACCGCCGGAGTATGACAGAGCAGCAGAAAACGCCCAAGGTAAGTTTCAACGCCAGTGTATCTTGTTTGTCAGCACATCACCATCACGAGGCTCATCTTACACGCATTGTTTGTGGGAAGTGACACTCCTGCAAATTGTTGTGTGCCTACATTTGTGCTTGCAGTCGTTGCTGATGTTGATGATGATGATGATGTCAATTTCAGCTTTGAACAGGTAGACGAGTCACGCATGTGATTCCTCACGCTCCCCTTCTCAGACCCTGTGACCCAGTCTGTTTGGGTCGACACACAACAACCCTAGCTCGCTCACAAACAATGCGTCGCTGCCTTGCATCATAATGAACTTGTCTCCCTTCGCTACAAACATGTCCCCGTAAGACCAGTCGCGGCATTGTGAAAGTAATTTACGGACGCCTTTTTACCGCCGTGCCCTATTAGATCAGCTGGTAATGGCGGCTGTGGTTGCGCCTGTCGCGCTTCTCCGTCTCACCAGGCCGCGTCCCACTGACTAGGATGGTACCCACAAAGCCAGCCCATTGTCGAGCCTCCCCGGTGACATGTCGGCTCTGGTCTGACCTGGCCGCCCGCAGGGAGGCAGGGGGCGCCGACTGCGCTGCGTGGCACGGGAGCCGCCGGGACACGGGCTCAGCTCAGGGACGTACGCTGCTACGGTTGTCGATGTGTGCCCGGGGGTGACCCCGCCGACCCCGCGGTGATCTCGTGGTGACCCCACGGTGACCCGCCACTGGCAGCGGTGGCACTTTTCGGTGACAAATGGTCTCTAGAGAGATGCCCGGGGCTCCGATGGCCGAACGCAGAAGGCCACGCCGGGTCACCGGGTGCTGTGTCCAACAATAAAACAAGTACCGTGTGACAACGTGTCAAGGATACTGCGCTCGCAATTAGTGCTAATCGCTCGACGGTGTTTACGAAAAACCATCGTCGGAAAGTGGTCCCGGCGGGCGGTGAGCCGGTTACGTGTCCAGTAGGATAGGAAGGATCCAGCTGGCGTTTTTGTCACCTATTGAACGGATGTTGACCGCTGCGCTAATAGCGACAACACGCGCCGAGAATCAACTCGTCTACTTATTTATCTGTTTCCTGATCGGGCTTAATCCGGCTAGACGCTGGACCATTTCCGCCAGGTTGAGTTTGTGGGCCTCCCCAGTCTAATACACTGGGCTGACGGTGGCTGCCGCTGAGCATGAAGCACTGACGGATCCATGGCCATTTGTGGTCGGCCAGTGACGATCAGTGACAGCCATCTCTGGAATCAGACCCGTCTGCCGGACTCATCGAGCTCCCACCGTCCGCCCTCCCCTCCGGAACTCCAGCCATCCAGCCCACGTTCTGGGGTGTTCTGCTTCATTACCGAGTAGCGGTACGTTGACGGAAGCTGTGGCTCGGTCTGGGGACCCGGCTGTCACACGGGTCTGCGTCTGACTTGAGCTGCTCTGTGTCGAATGAAGGATGCTATAGGTGTGAGTGATAGTTTCAAGTGAGTCCATCTTGGATTTATTCACATGAGCATAACAAGTAGAATGGGACCATTCGGCTACTGTTCCGGAACCAGTGCAATGATCAGCGCTTCTTTTACCTAACCAGCGAATGACATTTCTTCACCATCTATTATTCCGGCGCCTACTCACACCATGGAGTGCAGAGAGTGAGGTAAGTGCTTGTGGTGCATAGCAAGCAAATGAATTAGCCTGGCTATGTCATTTACTGAACATATGGTGCATATGACGCTTATCCCTTCTCATCTCTGGATCTCTCTATTTACCCAGTTCTTTATTTTGAAGCGGACCAGCCGACGTACTCTGCGGTCGGTCAGGACAGAGTCTGGACCTCACTCCGGACTGGTCCCGGCCGCTCTCCGGATCGGTGCCGGCCGCTCCTCGAAGTTCTCTGGGACGTGTGGGTGGCAGCGCTGGGTGAGAGGAGCGTCCGTAATTCGGCGCTAACGTGCCAACAATGCGCACAACGGTAGAGCCGACCGGCGCGGCGGGACGCACCTCGACCCGCTTACGCAAACCAACAACAGCTAATCTGTAGAGAAGGGACTGAAACGGGACGGAGACGGGACAGAAAACGAGACGGGGACGGTACGGAGACGGAACGGACGGAGACGGGACGGGACGGGACGGGGTGGGACGAAATGGGATGCGACGGAGACGGGACGGAGACGGGACGAAGGTGATAGGCACTGACCAAGCTAACGGATGATCGATCGTTTATCAAGGCTCCAATTAAAGTGATCGATAAGTCGTCGAGGAACTCATTGCCCTCAAATTCTGACAGATCTGGGACCATTGAAGACGATAATACATCGCAGATACCCTAGATATGCGCTTTAGTTTGAGCAGATGCGCATATCAATGGTTGCTTCGCTGAATCGTGCTCAGAGGTCAGCGTTTGTATTCTAAGGCATCGTTATTATTTGCATTGTGACGGATGAACCACCTATTTTGATATAGCGCTTTGAAATCAATACTTACTATAGGTATATGTACTTGAAATGCGGTCATTAAAAAGTTCACAGCAGTCATGACAGTCATGATAATTAAATAAAAATTCGGAAATCCGTTTTCAAACAGGAGTGATGTTAATTTCCTATGAGTGTCAGTAAGCAAAATGCATGGGACTGATCGCACTTGCGGCTGGCTGAAAGAATCGGATCAAGTTTCCAACGCGCTAGCCAGCGTTTTTACACGGTAAATGTCGGACAAAAACTGGTCCGGGTGGCGTATTCGCCAATTGTATTACACGAATCGGCAGACCAATAGCGTGCCTCTTGAGTGACGTCAGCGTGGCGTCATAGTTTTGGTCCTCGCCGTTGGTGGCGTCTATTGAAGCTAGGTTTAGTTTAACGATATTTAAGCTACCTGAAATATATTGTCGCCGTGGCGAAGTGTTTAGAGTATCGGACTGGTGATTCAGAAGTAGGTGGTTCGAATCCACTCGGCGATTTCGTTTTTCGTGTCATCTGTCATAAGTCATTGAGCGTTTTTTATGCATTTGCAACGGCGTGCACCTAAGAAATCAGACGTAGGCATTCTTCTAATGAATATGTTGCATAAGATAGATATTTGCAGCCCAACCGATTGGTTCGGTTTCGGTATTTTCCAATGGTCTTTGTTTGTATTTGGTTTGGTAGCGGTGTTCTGATTTTCTGTGATTGACATCACTAATGCATAGTGCATACTATGCGAACGTAGCCAATGGAAAGACAAATGGTGCTGGGCGATGGCCATTCATTGATCAATATTTTCACTGCCAATGGGTGATAGCACGCAGCATTGACAGGGGCGGCGCTGACCTTTTGAAAGTAGGTGGGCACTTGGCAAGGTAAAGTACCTAAAAGTAGCGAAAGCTAAGATGAAAAGTAAAAATCGCACGCTGGTTAGCAGGCTATTAGATAGTTTTTCGTGTAAGAATCACCACGCTCAAAAAAAGTTCGGCATAGCTGTTACTGTTAGCGTAATCACGGGACGAGATTTATCAGTTTCCAGCCGTCAGAGCGTCATCTATAGGAGCTATGCCCTAACTATAACTTTAGCATTTCAGCCGCCAGGGGGATACCTAAGTCCCCTTACTTGGAATCTAGTTAAAGTCAAAAAGATTTATATTAGACGTTTATGAAGATAACTTGGGACTGGTTGTTAAGTTGCATGCTCACGGCGGGCTGTCATCAAGTTATCTCTATACATGTCTTATCTGATAGATGAAATAATACAGGAATCCGTTGTCATTCGAGTGTGTTTCATAATAGCTCTTCCGACTTTGACGAATATCGACAGTGCCGTAACAAAATTGGTAGTTCAGGTATAGACTGCAACTGCAGTTCTTTTGCAACTTATTCCTTAATCAGATGAATACTTGTCAGAGATTTATTGGGCGTACGATATTGGCGTGCGAACGTAGGGGCCAAAAATGCGCGTCTACGACCGACTTCTTTTTAAGAGAAAAGAACCGCTAAAGCAAGAATCGATCCACCGACCTTTCATCCATCACATCGAGACTCTAACCACTCGGCTACGGCGACACGTTCTTGTTTAGTAGCCATATACAATTGCAAAAAAGTCTCAACTCAAATCTAGCCTCAATGCATGCATCGTCGCGGCGGATAGCTATGACGTCGCACTAGAGATGTCGCTAGTTGATGGGCCGATTCGTGTAATACAATTGGCGAATACGCGTCCGGGTGCTAACTAGCCGGGCGTGGCTACGAAGCGAGGGTGCACCTCTCACCCCACCCCCTGTGCCGCTGCCGCGGTGTTTCCCTATTCTCTGCGCCCAGCACCCCTCCCGGCCTGTGATTACCCCACCTCCCTGCGCGCTGCGTGCTGCCCCTGTGGCTTGACACACACACACTGCCCGCTGAATCAGCGGGGACGTTTTTACTCGGGCTGAGACCGCGTGCGCCGCGTGTGACGAAGGGGGTGTGGGTGCCGGGAGACTGAGAGGGAACGTGTGGTGTTTGGTATACGCCTCTGCATTCACAAGCTGCATGCATGTTGCGAGAAAGCAAAGGAGGTTCCGAGCGCTTTTTAAAAAGCAGGCCCGCAATTAGTGCTATGGGTGACCATGTCTGCCTATAGTTAAGCGACCGGCCTCATCATGGGTCTCCTTCTTGCTAACTCTGCCAGATCCACTGCGGATCAGACCACGAAGTAGAAGTAGGTCCTGCTCTGGGACCGGACCACCTCATCTGGAGGAGGGGGTGGTACTCCCTGGGGAGCGACCGCGGCGCCACAGCTCCCAGACGCCGCCCGTTTTGTCATTCATGCTGATAAACGACCAGGAAAAGCGAAATGGCCGTTTGTTTGCGTGTGATCTGGTGGAGGTTCCCCGGTGGGAGAGGCGGTTACACAAGTCCCCGGGACCGGTGCGTGTCCGCTCGGCGGGCCCGGTGAGTGGCAGGTGTGAACGATCGCTGCTAGGGTTTCCTCATCGCTTTACAAAACGCCAACCATGCAAATCATTCGTCGCAGAAAGATAGATTCAGCGGGAGGAACATTTTACTGTCTCCTTTTAGT